GAATTGAGGGGCGACGACGTCGCGTCGGAACTCCCCGCAGTGGCGGCAGAAGCACACATGCTCTTCTCCCGTGGCACGGGGAAGCACTTCTCTGCGCGCCACTACCGGTTGTTCGATGACCACGCGCGATGTGTATCTGCTCTTGGCTAAAAACGGGCCGCCTAGTGATGCTACACATCACTAGTACAACATGCAAGAGCACCCACTTCTAGCTCCAGAGCAGCACATTATACATCAGCCCTTTTCCTCTTTCCATTCAGCGCAATCAAAGAAACAAACAAACATATACTCAGATACTCTTCCCTAACTCTTCCGATTGCCTAGAGTAGAGAAGTGCAGAGAAGTGCGCCCCCCTCCCCTGGAAGCGATGTGCGCCTGCTCCTACGGCTAGGGCGGTTAGTTCCGCCGTGTTGTTGGTATGCCTTCGCGCGCCGAGGTAGGCTGGGTGCGCCGCCGAAGTGACAACTGGCCCGTAGCCCTCGCTCGCCAGCGACGCGCCCCTATCGCCGATTGCGTCGCCCCCGATGAGTACTGTATAGGCCCACCCTGCTTTCCCTAGGTCTTCCGACCCGTCTGTGTATGCCACCCAGTCGGGCGGGCGTCGTTGCGCCTGCTCTGCCAGTTGCTGCTGTGGGCGAAGAACGACCCCTGGTGCCTCGACCATTAGTCTCAGCTACCTAGGCGGGGCGGGGGTCGGGGGGGCGGCGGGCGCGGGTGCGAGGTGCGGTGCGGTGCGTGCAATCGTGTGTTTGGCGTCATGTCGTGTGTGCCTTCGCTTGTTCCTATTAACAACGAAGTCAAAAAAAGAAAAACATCACGGCATCTCCAAAGCACCCTAGCAATATGGCCGCCTTTTTGTTGAGGGCCGTGATGCTGCTCGCCGCCAGCGCCAGCGCGCTGAATCTCCCCATGGCGGGCCGGCCAGCCAGTGCGGTGGCCGTCGCGAACCGCGCGGCCGCCAGTAGCCCGGCGATGAGCGCGACGGCGAGCGCCGAGACTGAGGCGCCCGCCCTCCCGCCGCCGCCTCCCGCTGGCCTGCGTCGTTCGCGTCCGATGTTGCCGCGACTGCTGCTTCCACGATGGCCGCTGCCCTCGCCGCCGCCATCCCCGCCGCCATCCCCGCTGCCGCCCTCACCGCCCGCTCGCCGCCTCGCTCACCGCCGCCGCTGTCGCCTCGCAGGCGCCGCCCAGCTTTGTGCAGACGGAGATGCGCGGCGCGGCGATGAAGCTGCACACGCGCGACCAGTCGCCCCGCGAGGGCCAACAGCCCGCCCAGGTGACGGCATGCCATAGCGGTACCTTAGCTGCGGCGCTGACACCGGGACCGGGCGCTGGCGCCGTTGCAGAAGCAGCTCTGCGCGTGCCCTTTTCAAAGCAGCGACATGAATGCTGTGCCTCGACGCTGTCTCCTGCGCCCGACCACACCTGCGCGTGCTAGCTGACACCTCTCGCCTGCCCCTCACCTCCACCCCACCCTCCGCCCTCCCCCAAAGACGCCCGTCGAGCCCCCCCCCCCCTCCACCCCCACCCTCCGCCCCTCCCCACCTCCACCCCCACCCTCCGCCCCTCCCCCAGACGCCCGTCAAGGCGTGGAGCCGCAGCGCGAGGACTACCTCCA